TCTTTCATTCAAGCTTTAAAGGTTTTTGGTTTTTGTTAAAGTGTTTATGATTTTTTTAAATTAATGTAACCAAAAAGTACCTATCTTTGTGGATATGTGTTTTTAAAAAGCTGAGGAGAAATTCAGTAATTCAATATTGATGGGGACTGGCAGCTTTCTCTTAGATTCTGGCTGGGGTTTTAAAGAAAACGACTAAGGCTGTAATGTAAACGGGCCGACATTGTTGAATTACTCTCCGTTGTGTGGCACCTCATTGAACTCAGTGTCTTCAAGCTGCAGTGAGGACTTGCAGCTCAAATTCTGGTTTAATTGCAAAGGGAAGAAAGTTTCTGTTTACACCCCATTTCCTTTCAAAAGTTTCCTAGCTCTAAGGTGTGCTAACAATGGCAGCACTGCCATCTAGTGTTTAGGACAGCTTCTCTGACATTTTAAAAGGGAGCCTGTCTAACTTGAGAACACCGCCAATAAAACAGTTCCTGTGGCTAATGAGTGATTAAATAGAGACCAAATGGGATTAACACTTTAAACCCGGTGTGGAAGTGAACACCTGTAATCCCTGTGCAATAGGAAGACAGAGATAGTGAGTTTGGGGCCAGCTGAGATTACACAGTGGAAAGCTATAATACAAAAAAGCTTACTTATTTCACAGACTTAGCACAAAGACAAAGAATATAGATATTCCACTGATGCACTTCAAATATTGTTCACACTTTATACTGAAGATACTTAGATATGTTGAGTTAAATGTATTTATTTAAAGTGATTTTACCTATTTTCGTTTACTTTCTCATGACTCGAGGTATATTAGACAACACCGATTTCAAAGAAAAGTTACCTTAGTTTTCAACATAAATGGCTCAAGCATTTGTATGTTTAAATTTTATAGTAAATGGAATATAAGCTACCTAATATGTTGATAATTGTAACTAGTCACTATTTGGTATATATAAAGTCTACACAAAAAATAATAAGAGAATAATTTCTACTTAAGAAAAACAGGCAACAAATATGTCCATTTAAAATAAAAATACAGAAAGATGAAGGAAAGCCACTGGCTGCAATTGAAACGTGCTGTGCACATATGAATCTGTAATTTCAAAACATACACTAAAAACCATCGCCTTGAAAGATATTCAGGATAAAATATAAAACAAAGGAATGCACACATTAGCAAAACAATCAACAAAGAGATGCTAAAAATGAAGCCAAGGACTGCAGTATTTACCTTCCATGTGAACTCCAGCCATGGGTAACTTAGCCAATTGTGAGAACAAATTTGTTCTACTTAAGTATCTTAACCAACAAATGAAGGAGCATTTGAAAGAACAAACTCAGTGCAACCTTGAAAACTGGAATTGGCATAGTGATCAGCCTTGTCTGTGAGAACGTAAGAGCAGTTAGAAACACACGTGCTGTGTGTCCTCTAGATGAAGGCCCTCGGAGACGTTTCTCTCCACTCCAATCTGAACCTGACTAAGCCTCTAACCCAGGGACTCTCAACCTCAGGTTGCTATTTGCACCTGACGATTCCCGGTTCTGAACAAGACATCAGAGCCCTAGAGACTGCTGTGCAGAGCCCCAGCCTGACCCTAGTCACTAACTACCCTTGGTACCTACACCCTCCTCCAGCTGGGAAAACAACATTTCCAAACACTGTCTCACAGTGAGCACCCACCCAATAATAAGATCTGGAGTGTTTGCTGCCTTGTCGATAAAATTAGAAAAATATAAATGTGTACCTATTTCTTAGGAAATCACATAAAGATAAAATATTGAAATCATAAATTATGGAAAAATAATACTAAAAAGAAAACTTTGTATCAGATGTGGCAAAGCAGCAACAAGAAAAAAAAATAGAAAAGGACTCTAAACTCAAAAGGAAGAATTAGAACTGTTAGTACCTAGAGAAGACAGTGTGGTTTAAAGAAATTCTGACAGAATATGCTAGAGGCAGTAGAACTAGGATATAAACAATTACAAAAATCAATTATAATTATATACAAAGGTAAAAGAAATAAAATATTCTCAATAGTTTCAGAACAAAATATGTAAGGATAGTCCTAGGGTTCCATTGCTGTGATACATACACACCATGGCCAAAAGCAACCTGGGAAGGCAAGGGCTTGTTTGGCTCGCAGTTTCACACTGAGAACACGCACTGTGGAAGTCAGGTCAGGGCTTCGGTACAGCAGGAAGCTGGAGGCAGAGCTGATGCAGACACCACGGAGGAGGGCTGCTTACTGGCTGCTCAACCTGCTTTCTTATAGCACCCAGGACCATAGCTCAAGGCACCCATAGTGGACTGGATCCTCCCCCACAGAGTAGTAAATAAGGGCATGCCCTACAGGCTTGTCTGCACCCCAATCTAAAGGACACATTTTCTCAGTTGAGGCTCCCCCCATCAGTTGACTGTAGCTTGCATGGAATATTAAAGCTAGTCAGCATAGGGATAAATCTGGCAGAGAGAGAGAGAGATGCACATAATTAAAACCATAAAATATCTCTAAGACAAATGAAAGAAGATTTAAAAAGAAAAGGACATGCCATTTCCATAAGTAAAAAAGACTTACTTCAGGTAAATGTAAATTTCCCCAAATTCACCTATAAACTCCTATAAAACTCAGCAAAATTCCAAAGAAGTGTTTTTATAGACATTTCTCGGAATACCACATTTGTAAGTAGAAGTTCGTTTAAATTCAATGCGGTCTCTCAACTGACTTGAGCATACCGCATTTGTCTTTTCTGGTCTGCATTACCTCACTTGGGATGGTTGTTTCAAGCTCTGTCCATTTACCTGAGAATTTAATTATTCTTAACAGCTGAAAAGCATCCCGTCGGGTAAATAAATGTACCACGTTTTCGTTATCCGTTCATCAGGTGATGGAGACCTAGGCTGCTTCCAATGGCTGGCTATCATGAGCAGAGCAGCAGCAAACATGGATGAGAGCGTGTCCCTGGAGTGAGGTCTAGAGTCCTTTGGGGCGCATGCCCAAGAGTGGTACAGCTGGACCGTGATGAGGTGGATTCCCACTTCCCGAGGAACCTCCACACTGATTCCCACAGGGGCTGCACACTTGGATCAGCAACAACTAAGGGCCCCTACCCACCCTCAGGTGCGTGTGCTGACTTTGGTTTTATTAATCTTGGCCATTCCAACCAGCGTTGAGAAAAAAAATCTCAAACTTGAGAAGGGGAAGTGGACAAAGTCCCACCCCAGACCCCAGACCAAGAAACACGTGTAATGGACCCCTGCTGGGGAAGGAGGAGCCCTTTTCTCCGAAGGAGCCTGTCTGGGGTCTCTACCACACTCCTGGGGCCTGCCCTGGAGCAGTGGGAGACACAGGACAAACGCCGCACTTTGCTTTTTATTTGGGGCTTTTTGTTTCCTTTGGATGTTTTTCCTTTGTCTTCTTGCTTTGGGTCTTTGTTTTGATTTGGGGTTCATTTCGGTATTTTTTGAGAGAAAGGGAACTAACCTGAAGCTGGGTAGGTAAGGAGGTGGGCAGGATAGAGGAGGAGCTGGGGACATACTGTATGATGAAAGCTAATTTTCAAAAAGTTCCCTTTCTAGAAAATTACTCTTTAAAGGGTGAGACATGTCCAGACACGGCGGCACATGTGATCGGGACCTCTACACAAAATAGCAGACCTTTAAAACATAACACCATCGTTAGTGTTGGTGTGTGTGCTGGTGTGTGTGCTGGTGTGTGTGTGCTGGTGTGTGTGCTTGTGTGTGTGCTGGTGTGTGTGCTGGTGTGTGTGCTGGTGTGTGTGCTGGCTTGTATGTTTGGTTTTGGTTAAGTTGACACAAGATAAAGTCACCAGGGAAGAGGAAACCTTAGCTGAGAAAATGCTCCATTAGACCAGCTCTTTGGGAAGTCTGGGGCATTTCTTGATTAATGATTGATAAGAGAGTGCCACGCCCACTGTGGGCGCGGCCTCCCTGCAGAAGTCCCGCCCACTGTGGGCGGTGCCACCCTTCAGCAGCAGTCCTGCCCACTGTGGGCGGTGCCACCTTCAGCAGCAGTCCCGCCCACTGTGGGCGGTGCCACCTTCAGCAGCAGTCCCGCCCACTGTGGGCGGTGCCACCCTGCAGCAATCAGTCCCGCCCACTCTAGGCGGGGCCGTTGCAGCAGCAATCCCCAGTTGTGTAAAAAGCAGGCTGAGCAAGCCCTGTGGAGCCTGAGAGTTTTAAGTTGGAATAAACCCTTTCCTCCTCCCCACGCTGCTTTTGATCATGGTGTTTAACACAGCAAATGAAAGCCAAATAAAACAATCATGAAAATAAATCATTAACTAAAAATGTTAAACACTTCAACAAGAAACATACACATGACATGTATGTATCAAAAGATCCTCTGTATTGCTAATAATGAATGAAAAAAATAATAATTAGATTTCATTGCGTAACTACTAGAATGGCTAGAATTAAAAAGGCTGTAAAATCATGTTGAGAGACACAGAAGAACTGAAAATCTTATGCATTCATGTCGAGAACCTGATGGTACAAACACTGTGGAAGGAATTCACCTGACTCTGAGAAGCTAAACAAGCAGACGAAAGTAACTGCTGACAGGAAATCACTGTAGATTCAGAGAATGAACAACACTGTATCTTATAAACAGTCTATCCTAAAATTTTATTTCTTCAAAATTTAAAAACTTGTAGAAGTTTATTTGAACACTACCCTTTGTTCATGTTCAGGACATGAACAACTTTAATTTATTTCTATTTAGTTTACTATTTAGAGTAGAAAAAATACACCAAACACAGTTAAGAGAATATCACAAATAGACGTTACCTTTCTTAGCAACAAATTATGGAAGTATAAAGTTTAAGAAGTACGAAGGATAAGAATGTTATCGTCTTAAAAAATTTTATAGTAAAAATAAAATATGTGGACCAGAGTAAGTAAAATAGTAATGAAACCATGGCTACTCATTTGCCTGAAGCTAACAATACAAATCAATTACTATAAATAAAAACATACAGATACTTACAATAACACGTCCCCCTAAGTGGGTTACCAACATAGCGGTTTTCAGAGTCACATCTGTAGAAACAAGAAGAAGTCACTCACTACTAAATAATGTAAATATGTTAAAGCTATATCATAAACTGAATTTTTAAAAATAAACTTGCAAAGTAATTGAGTGCAGCAATCCTAAGGATAAATAAGCATGAGTGAACAGAAAGCGCTTCTGACAAACACCATCAGCGCACATGATGGAATCCAACAGACTGACAAGAGGCAGGCGTGATTGGAGCGTCAGGCGACTTAGCCATCTTTACTAATGCAGCAAGTTCTTGACAGTCATTTTTAGGCACATAAAAACCCAGAACATTTATAAAACCCTATTTCCTTCTTTGTAGTATCATCTAAAAGTAAAACACCTCCCTGTCTTATACAACAATGAACCTTTACTATTAAAAAGTAATTCTCAGAGTACATCTGTTATCAGTGTCTGTCCTACATGAACAAAAGGGTACACACACACACACACACTGCACACACCCACACACACCCACACACACTGTACACACACAGGCACATGAACATACATATGCATATATATATTGGTACTCTCTCTCCTGTACGTGTATACAGGCACACACACAAGCTGACACTCACAGTTCTCTCAGTTGTGTTGAGAAGCTTTTCTCTAAGTCAATACACTGAAGCACAATAGACTAACATGATCTGAAATGAAGAGCTTGAATTCTTGAGCTGTCATCACATTATTAAAAATGGATACATATGGAGACTCAAACACATGAACTCTAAGTTAAATACTTCAAAACTAATAACAACAGAGAAACTTATGAATTTTAAAAAAAACTTTATATTTTTCCATGTCCTGTTTCTATAATAAAATTGAAATGATTATCAGTGCCACCCAGGTATACAGTATTTATCTGCACAATTCTATTTCTTGGAATACCTTTCCAAAATTAATTTTATAAAAAGCATGTACTGTAAGCAGGGAACACTGTGGACTGGAGGTGGACCAGGGAGTTTGCTCTAAGACTGAGTCTCCTGCTAAAGTCAAATGTTTCACCCACAGTGGCCATGCCAAAGTGGCTGAGAGTCTTACATTTAGGGCTTCTACTCAGTGAAGACACACCAGGACCAAAGCAATTTGGGGAGGAAGGGGTTTATTTGGCTTACACTTCCAAAACCTTATTCATCATGGAAGGAAGTCAGGACAGGAACTCAAACGGAGCCCAAACATGGAGACAGGCGCTGATGCAGAGGCCATGGAGGGGAACCGCTTACTGGCTTGCTCCCCTGGCTTGCTCAGCCTGCTGCCTTATAGAACCCAGGACCAGCAGCCCAGGGATGACACCGTCCATAATGGACTGGGTCATCCTACATGCCATGAGATCACGAAAGGCACTTTCAAATTCTAAGCTTCATGGCATCTCACAAAAGCCAGCCAAGTTTACAAGTCTTAGAATCACTAGGCTTCACACTTTAGAGTATTTATACATTTATACATTACTGTTTAAACATGACGGCTTTTCGCCAAGCTCCACATTCTCCCAATTGACACAGCTATGATCCCCAGTGATCACCCTGACACATCAGGACAGTCACTGCCTCAGTTCCCATCAGAATCGTGGCATTTAGTGACAGTCATCCAAGTTCAAAATCCCATCATGATGTCCCTATCTAGAGACACTATGAACAGTACCTTGGATGGGATCCCCTCAACAGAGGACAGAAGGACCTGGCGGTGCATATGTTCACAGGGAGTGACAGAAGGCAGCCTTAATGACAGAGCAGAACATTCCATTGTGTACACGAGTGTTATTTTATTGATCTAGTCATTTGGACTGTTCCATTTCCTAGATACTATGAACAGTGTACATCCATGTGGCAAGTAAGTAACATAGTCCCTCTGGCACACACCCCACAGAACAGGTGGGTGACATGACAGCTCTAATGGCAGCTTTATGAGGAACTTCCTTACCAATTTCCTCTTGACTACACAAGTTTACACTCTCATCGGCAGCAAACAAGGGTTCCTTTTTCTCCATATCCTTGCCAGGATTTGCCATCATGAGTCTGATAGCGACATTGGCTGGAGTGAGCTTAGATTCTAACGTTTTCCTGATGGCTAAGGAGGCTACTACTTTGTGAAGTGTTTATTGGCCATCTGTATTTCCTCAACTGTTGAGTCCAGTAGTTGCTTTTGTTTGGAAGTTACCACTTTTTCAGTACCATGTTGGGGAAAAGGTTAGATGGAGCATTGTCATTACTGTGACAATGTGACTACTTTGTATCCATTTAAAGAGATTGTCTTATGATTTGTATATTGCATACTTCATTCCTTTGTTTGAGATTGGGGAGCCAAAACTGGCCTTAAATTCACTATGCAGCTAAGACTGGCTGAATGTGTATTTAATCACAATATTCATGCTTGGCCTAACGAGGCTGCCATTCGCTTCCATCTTTTATTTCTTTAATCAATTAACAAGGTGAGGGTCAAGGATTTGTATTTTAAGGAGGCTTTTCCTTCTTTTGCCCTTTAACAAGGGGGAGGACAATATTCTCTCCATCTCTCTACATCCATGAGCAGACACAGGAAATGCTAAGACCATGTTCATTCTTATGTCTTTGTTGTTCCTGGTGCTACTTCCACCACTGTCTGCTGTCCTCTTTAGCCAGGAAAATGTAACACTGACCTACACAGTCCAACGCAAGTACACTGTGCTGAGAACATCTTCATCCTCGATGAATCCCACCTCAGAAGTCACAAAGAACAATTAATATATCCGCAGAGAGTTTTGAGACTGATGCCATGGGTCCCAGAAGTTGTTCATTCAAATAAAGGACATAGACAAATGCAGTGATACACACACACACACACACACACACACACACACACACCCGCACCTGTAGCACTGGCCACGCCTTTGGGGGCATGGTCATAGATGCAGACATGATCAGTTAAAAGGAATAGGACTGGGGCTCTGAGCCCCTTCAGGTCTTGGAGAGCATCCAGGTGGCAGAGTCTGCATCCTTGAAGCGGGAGCCCAAGACAGCCATTTTTTTCCTGTGTTAAGTTCCTTTTCCCCAAATAAACTACACTTCATCTTACTGGGTCAAGCAGCAAGCAAACTGATGTCCACACCCATAGACAACTACAAGGCTACATGGCCAATGGAAGCAATAACTGGGAAACAAAAAGAACCAATATTCACTTGGGAAACTTGCAAAAATATGTGGCATTTGCTGACACATTTAAAGAAAAATGGAATTTATCCTTGGAAGAAAAGATTTGTGGTATTCTAGGTCATTAAACATAAGAAATCTGTGTATTTCACTGTGGTGAGTATAATACTAATAGCATGAAAGGCACTATAGCAAAACCCTCATCAATTTTGCTTACTAATACCATGCAATAATTTAATCACAGTTTGCTTATTTAGACGACCATCTCTGCTTCCTAATAAAAGCATTTTCCAATACAACCACAATATAGCAAATAATTATTTTCAAAATGATGATCTTATTTTTATTACCCCCATTCAAAAGTTAAAAATGTACTGAGCAGCCACTTGAGATTCCTCTACTGGGAATTGTTTTGAACTGTACTCCATTTTTAATTGGATTATTTGGTTCCTTGACAGCTACTTTCTTGAGTTCTTTATATATTTGGGGTATTACTTCTCTATTGGATATGGAGTTGATAAAAATCTTTTCTCATTCTGTGAACTACCACTGTGTCCGACTGACAGTGTCCTTTGTCACATAGAATCTCTTCAGTTACATGAGATCCCATTTATCAATTCTTAATCTTTGTGCCTGCACTATCAGTGCTCTGTTCAGGAGTTCAAGGTTATCCCCACTTTCTCTTCCATTAGGTCTGGTTGTCTGGTTTTAGCTTGAGGTCTTTGATCCACTTGGACATCAGTTTTGTGCAGGGTAACAACTATGTATCCATTTGAATTCTTCCACATGTCAACATCTGGTTAAGCCAGCAACATATATGTTGGTTTTATTATTATAGCTCTATAGTATGGCATGAAATCAGGGAGGTGATACACCCACCGGTTCTTACATTGTTCAGGACTGTTGTAGATATCTTGGGTTTTTATTTTTCTATGTGGAGTTGAGAATTGTCCTTTCAGTGTCTGATAAGACCTGTGTTGGAGTTTTGATGGGGATTACACTGAATCTGTAGATTGCTTTTGGTAGGATGGTCATTTTTACTATGTCAGTCCAACAAATCCATGAGCATGGGAGATCTTTCCATCTTCTGATATCTTCTTCAATTTCTTTCTTCAAAGACTTGAACTTTTACCACACCAGTCATTCATTTGCCTAGTTATAGTTACCCCCATGATATTTTCTATTATTTCAGGCTATTGTGAAGGGTGCTGACTTCTAAGTCCATTTGCCATTTGTATATAGGAGGCCACTAACTTTTTTTGAGTTGGGAAATGAAAATCAAAACTACTGTAAGATCCCATCCTACACATGTCAGAATTGATAAGATCAATAACACATGTAACAGCTCATGCTGGTGAGAATGTGGAGCAAGGGGGACACTCCTCCATTCCTGGTGGGAGTGCAAACTTGTTCAGCCACTATGGCAGTCAATATGGCAGTTCCTCAGAAAATTAGGAATCAGTCTCCCTCAGGACTCAGCTATATCACTCAAGCATATACCCAAAGTACACTTGCTCACTACATTCATTGCAGCTTTATTCGTAATGGGCAAAACTAGATGCCACTCAACTGAAGAATGGATAAAGAAAATGTGGTATGTTTGCACAATGGAGTATTACTCAACTGTTTTAAAAAAAATGACATCAGAAATCTTCAGGTAAATGGATACAGCTAGAAAAAAAAAATCATTCTGAGTGAGGTAACACAGACCCAGAAAGACAAATAGGTATGTATTTATTTGCAAATAGATATTAGATGTTAAGTAAATGATAACCAAGCTACAACCCACGGACCCAGAGAGGCTGGGTAAAGGAGAGGGCTCTAGGGGAACCCATGTACCTTTCCCCCGGAAGGAGAAAGAGATCGTGCAGGTGGCCTCTGGGCAGGTAGGGACAGGAGTAGAAGGCAATGGAGGGAGAGAGTGCTGGGAGAGATGGCTGGAACTGCAGGGCATTTGGGGGATGGTGTGGAAACCTAGTGCAGTGACGATTCCCTGGAATCTTTGCAGGTGACTCCAGTGAGGACGCCTAGTAATGGAGGGGGATGGGGGATGAACTTCTGTATGCTGTGCGTATATGTTTCTCTTATTGGTTGATGAATAAAAATGTTTTGGTCAATGGACAGGCAGGATTTAGCCAGGTGGGAAATCCAAACAGGGACAGAGAAAGGAAATAGGCAGAGTTGGAGAAATGCCATGTAGCTACCAGGAGGGTAGGATGTCCAGGTATTCTCTGGTAAGCCAAGACCACGTAGAGATACATAGTGTAATAGAAATGGGTTAATAATTAAGAGAGAACTAACCAAGAAAAAGCCTGAGTCATCAGCCAAATGGTTTATAATTAATATAAGCCTCTATGTGTTTATTCGGGACTTAGGTGGCCACAGGACAGAAACTTCTGTTGACAGGAGGATATGGAGTCTAAAGTGGCCATCTTTTGTAGCCAGACAAAACTTTCCAGTGGTAGCACTGGGTTGTATCCAGTTGAGTTGTTGGCCAAGGCAGCCCTTGGTGATCCCTATACAACACAGGCTGGAGCTAGGACAACATTCACTCAGCTTATTGAACATAGAAGGTGGAGCTGGTGACTTCCTTCACCCCAACATTCTAGTCTCTTTGGCCTGGGAACGTACTCTGCAAACTACTGAAAGAGAAAACTAGACATCAAGCCAGCCACAAAACCCTTGACCTACAATCTGTCCAGCCTGAAAGTTATGCTGGGGCAACGGTAGCGCAGCACGTGTGGGAGTGACCAACCAATGTCTGTCACAAAAGGAAGCCCATTCCCTGAATGGCCAGGATCTGGCCAAAAAAAAAAAAAAAAAAAAAAAAAAAAAAAAAATCAATGAAATGATTCCTAACAATATTCTGCTACATTCACAGATCAGTGCCTTATCCAGTCATCAGAGAGACTTCCTCTGGCACCCAACGGGAGTGGATGCAGAGACACGGCCAAATATTATGTGTAGAATCTAACCTGGAGGTCTCCATTGAGTCCCTGCCCTCAGAGATCAGAGAATCCCACAGAAGGAGGGGAGGAAAGATTATAGGAGTCAGAGGGGATGGAGGCCACCAGGAGAGCATGTCCCACAGAATCAGCTACGCAGGGCTCACATGGGCTCACAGCAACTGAAGTGACAAACACGGCCCCCACATAGCTCACCACCAGACCCTCTGTGTGTATGTTATGGTTGTTAGCTTGGTGTTTTTGTGGGACTCCTAACTGTGGGAACAAGTGTGTCTCTGACTCTTCTGCCCACTCTTGGGGCTCTTTCACTCCTCGTGGGTTACACTGTCCAGACTCTAGATGAGAGCTCTGCCTTGTCCTACTGTATCCTCCTGTGTCCTCTTTAGCTGTTGACTCTCGGAGGCCTGCTCTTTTCTGAAGGGAGACAGAAGGGGAGTGAGATCTGGGAAAGGAGGAGGTGGAGAGGACTGGAAGGAGTGTAGGGAGGGGGACCTGTGGCCAGGATGAGAGAAGAACCTATTTTCAATCTTTAAAAAACAAATAAATAAATAAATAAATACACTTGCATTCAAAAAGAAGTACTGAACAGAATCATGTCTATGAATACTATCTACAAATTATTCTTTACAAGCTGGTATTCCAGTGCCTCTTTAGAAAAATACATAAATTAGATCAAAGGCAAAGTATATTTTTGTCATTCAAACTATGTATTTTAGATAAAATGTATATGCTTGGCCTGCTACCTGTATGAAGCTGAGCATGTCAGCTCATAAGTAAACAAAAATATTGCTGTCTTCTGTCTAAGAACAAAAGCATGTTCTTAAAATGCCAATTACAAAGTAAGTAACTGCTAACATGCTATATGGTTGAATCACTTATGAAAAACTGCAACAATTGTTTTCAGTTCATAATCATAGTTGCAATTAACATTTTTTCTTTTGTCTGTGACACCATACCCTGGACCCACAGGTGTTACCTTCATTGCTGTAATGAAGTAGTGATGCTTATGACCTGATATATAATTTGAAGAAATGGATAAGAATGCTGCAAGGCATAAATACAGTTCAAGTTCTGTTCACAAAACTAGTAAGTTGGTCATACCGTAGCCTTAAACTCTCCTAAGCAGGGGTCTGTGGAGATTCACTAGCCTCCTGACAAAAAAGCTGGATCTATTTAGAAAACAAGCATTACTTGTTTTCTAATACCAGAGCATCCCTCCTAGCACAGAGTGTGAGCCTCTGGTTTAGCTCATTGCTCACAAGGCCTCAGTGGTCTGCCTGACAGAAATCGACTTTTAACTGTAGGGATTACAGATAAGAGACTCAACTGGCTATTTAAGGATTCTCTGAACTTGAAAGTCTGTGATAGTCAAAGATATCAAATAAAGATAAGCAAAAGTTGGTTTCTGTGTTCTTTAGATATAAATTCTAAATATGCACAATTTAGAGAATTCTTTATTAAATAATTTTTCTTGATAATTACATTTTAATATAATTGAAACATGTTTTTCTCAAATAATAGATATTCATGAAAAATGAGCATGCATGTGTACCTAGTTAATATGAAACCATACAAATCTGATTTTAATATAATATACAAGAATAAAATTAAGAAAAGAAAAATAATTTAAATGTGTTGCCTTTTAAAGTCATATTTGGAAGGTAATAAAAATTAAGAATAACTAAATGATAGAAAAAAGTCATTGGGGAAGTACAGAGAGCAAGATACTGAGTTCCTGTGTAATGAACACTCTAGAGAAAAGGAAAGCTGCTGGGTTCAGTGACTCAGCAGTGACACAGGTGTGAACCCCAGAACCATGTACATACATGTCAGGTGTGAGGCCTGTGCCCCTGTCAGCAATGACACAGGTGTGAACTCTGGAACCATGTACATACATGTCAGGTGTGAGGCCTGTGCCCCTGTCAGCAATGACACAGATGTGAACCCCAGAACCACACAAGTCAGCTTGATGCTGTGTTCTCTGACAGCTGGCTCTACAGGCTCTGCTCTTAGCCTCTAGGAGACTGTCATCTTTAAACATCTATGTTTTCAAAGGATTTGATAATATGTAAATGAAAAGAGCTTACAATAATTTAAGTTTAACTAACATACTACAACATTCAAAAATGAAACATAAAAATCAGTCTTATAACACAAAATCCATAAAAGTTGCAAGAATAGTTCTTCATACTTACAATTGGCACTGGTCACCTTTTATTCCTTTAGTTGTGCAGAAACATTTTCCTGTGTGCAGATGACAAATATTTGCATGGCCACTGCATGTGCAAGCTGTAAGCCAAAAACCAACACAGTATTATTAGTATCTTATGTTAGGAGGCCATTTCCTCATGTCATATGAGCTATTTTGTCACTTAATGTGAAAGTTTGCAACACTGCGTACGATCCCTAGGAGTGTCCTGTGTCTACCACACTCCTAAGGAGTTCTCTAATTAATTCCTCTGTGCTTCTGCTTGTGATCTGATAGAGCAGGTTCAGGAAGCAAGAGCTCAAAACAATAGCAGTTTAGTGGTTCACACTCTACTCCCAGCACATGAAAGATGCATGGTGCACACCTCCAATACCCTCGTGTGGGAGGTGAATACAATGTAAACACACCTCCAGTCCCCTGTGGGGGAGGTGAAACACAGTAAACACACCTCCAGTCCCCTGTGGGAGAGGAACACACGGTAAACACACCTCCAGTTCCCTGTGGAGGAGGTGAACACACCGTGCACCTCAAGATTATTCTCAGAATTATAACTTCAGAACACTAAATTAAGCACTGCATTGCACAGGACATGATTGGTTTAGTTGTAGAAATACAAATCTCAATTTTCTCTTCATTATTTCCTAACACAGCTGCCTAAACAAGACCTAGGCAACAATGAAGACACCGACAGATGAGCTAACACAAAGCAGGGAACATTCGAGGGACATCAACCCTAGACAAACAGGCAACTAAGAAATGTAGAAAGTGGGAGAAAGAAACATCCCCAGCCCCCAAATGTTCATTAATGCAAAGTGATCAGCCCTGAAATCATGACTATGAAGCTGCAACAATAAATTCAGACTGTACTGGTGTAACTGCAGACAAGGAGTGAAAGGAGAGACCAAGTCCACATGCTCGGGAGCTGAGACAGCTCGGCAGGCCTGGGGGAAGAATGGGCTGGATCCTGCACACCAGCCACAGAAGGCATCCAACTGAGTAAAAGGCCTACATCTACGGTTTAAACGATCCCAAAACGAAAAACTCAAGAAGTGTTTCTGACATTATTTGAGCAATTATTTTGGCACTGTTGTGATTTAAATAAGAAATACTCCCGTGGGCTCCTGGATTTGAACACCAGGGTCTCCTGTTGATGACAGCGTGGGAGGTTCCAGAACTTGAGTGGGTGCAACCTTGCAGGATGAATTACACAGGAGGCGGGATTGAGGGATTATATCCTTGATGCAGCTACTGTGCTCTCTCTCTCTCTCTCTCTCTCTCTCTCTCTCTCTCTCGATATATATAGATATAGACAGACAGATAGACATCTGTGTGTGTGTCCCTCTCTCTCTTCCTCCCTCGCTCCCTCCCTCCCACCTCTTTCTCCCTCTCTACTTCTTACGTGTAGATAAAAAAATGTCATCACGGATATCTTAATTAGTTACTATTGCTTGGATAAAACTCCATGACAAAAAGCAACTTACTGGGAAAAATATTTACTTGTCTGATGCTTCCACATCACTGTTCATCACTGAGGAAAGTCAGGACAGGAACTCAAAAAGGCAGGAACCTGGAGGCAGGAGCTGACATAGGGGCCAAGGAGGGGTGCTGCTTACTGGCTTGCTCCTCAGAGTTTGCTCAGCCTGATTTCTTATACAACCCAGGAGCACAAGGCCAGCGGGAGCACCACCCACAATAACCTTGGCCCTCCCCCATCAATTGCTAGTTAAGAAAATGTCCCACAACTGGATCTTATCCAGGTTTATTTTCTCTATCGAGGTTCCAGCATTCAGAGGACTCTACCTTGTGCCAAGTTGACATGAACTAGGCAGTTCCCTGATCCTATACCTATGCCTGCCATGCCATGCCATGGCACACACTGGAAACATAACTCAAAACAAACCCATCTACTGTGAGCTGCTGTTGGTCATGGTATTCTATCACAACAATAGAAAAATAATTCATGAAGTCACCAAAGACACGAAACAGGAAAAACAGAAAGCAAGCAAGTACAGGATGTACTTCATCAATCTTAATAAATGTGTAAGAAAAGAGATGCCAACAATAAAATAAAAGAGCAATAAATTAAGGAGATTTTTTTTGCAAATCATGTATCTTACTTGTGTCTAAAATATAAACAACAATTTAATTCAAAAAGAGATAAATTTCCCAATTTAAAATAAAAATCTATCCATTAATTTGAGTCAACATTATTTGAAGGAAACTGCACAAATGTCCGATAAGCACAGAAAAGGGTAGTCACTGTATTAGTAGCTAGGGAAATAAATGCAGGTCAAATTTCATATTAGATAGCATTGATACTCCTAATCAAAATGCAAACAATGGACAGAACGTATGAGGATGCAGAGAAGTTGGAACCTGCATGGATGACCAGTGGAAATATAGATGTGTACAGCTGTCCTCAGAATGTAGCGGGTGACAGAGTCGTCTAGTTCCAGCTAGGTAGAGAATGATAAATAAAACATATCCATAGTGGGAAACTACCAATACGGAGTCAGGTAGAAATATAAGG